AGGCTTGTCTGTGTTTCACCCTTCAGATAACTACAGCGCTGAGGACAAGTACAAGATATGGATGAGGCACCGCTACAACGACTGCGTGGATTGCTTGGCGGAGCTGATGGGACACGATGCCTTCCAGGTCAAGGTAGGTCCCGAGCCTGCTGCTGAGACACGAGTTCACGTGGGGGTCCCTTGCGATGCAGAAGCAATTATCACTCCAGTAGTTTCAGTGTGGGAGGGCGGGCAGTGCTGTAAGACGTTGCTGGTGTTCTGGCTCACCTCTGCTCACCAGCCTGCCAGTAGCAGGCACGCAGCTTTCTTCGTGAAGACCATCTTAGTTCATTCTTCCTCCTTCAGAAGTTGCCTCCTTTGGGTCTGACCCCTGGTGTCCTTGTTGAGGTGGGGTTTTTTTCTGTTGTTTTCTTTTAAAGGAACTGTCGCTCTGCACCCTCATGAAGTTTGTTGAGTTGGAGGCACAATATCCGTTGGTCAAAGTAGAGTGGAAGGGGAGTTTAACTTTCCCTCGTGAACTTCTTAAGGTAAGCTATAGAACTGAAAGGTTCCTCCTGTCAGTTACCCGATGGCACGCACAACCTCACGTGCTCACCTTCTCCAGGACTAAAATTCCAAGCTAGGAGGTTTTCAGTGCAAAGGGAGGGTGGTGTTCCAGAGAGAGCACCAAGACCTAGAGCTTCTGTCCGTGGTGAGGTGACACCTGCAGGCGTGGGAGCAGCTGCCTTGTACAGGTTCGAGCTGGATTCCTGAGTGTTTATGAGGTACCGGTTCTGGGGTAGTTTTTTGGAGTCCCTGGCCTCATTTGCAAGGATTGGGAGACGAGAGGGAGGGTACTGCCCCTGGTTCAGCCACCGTGTCATTTCTAAATGACATTGCCTTTGATAGAAGGGGCCCGTCTTGGAGGTCAGGAGGGCTTGTCAGAACGGCTTGTGGACATTGCTCTGGGGCAAGCAGTGCACAGCCATGCTAGCTGCCTTTCAGGAAGACAGGAGGGTGCCCTCAGCCATCGCGGCTCGCTGTCTGCTCCAGTACTGTAAGAGGCTGAGTCGTTGCTTTCCTTTGCAAACCTTTCGTTAGGTAGTTGTTGATGGCTTACTTCCCTTAAATGAGGACGCTTCTCTCCTGATCTCTCGCTTTCAAGAATATATGGAGTATGATGACATTCGGTACTTTGTCATAAAGGCGGTCACCGAGAGTATTGGACAAGTCATGCAGAAGACAAAAGAGGTAACACATGGTTACTGTTGAGGTGGGTCTGGATAAACCGCTCTGAAGCGTGTATCTTGTGCGTGAAGCAGGGAGGGTCTGATGGTATATGGAAAGACTTTGGAAGCAAGAGTGGTGAGTGTGCTCACTTGAAGGCATTGATTTTTTTTCCTTTTTTTTTTTTCTTGCTCACAGTATATGCCAGTTATGCTAAGACTGTCTTCAGTCTGAAATTGGAAGTAGTTCAAGGCACGCGTACTGTTGTTCATGCAAAACCTGGTCTGGGCTCTAGCTTCTGTTTGACCCAAATCTCTGCAGCTCGGGTGGCACACACAGAACTTTCAATTCTGTTTTTTCTCTGGTGCAGAAGAAGAGTCTGTTTTCTTTAATTGGATCTACCAATTTTGTTAAACCAGGATTAGTTCAGAGATGGGTTTTGTGTTAGGCAAACAAGTAATAGCCCAGGACAAGGCAGCAGTAGAGAGTAAACCAGTATGTAGTTCAGCCATCAGCATTTTTCCTTTCCTTTTTCTCTCCTAAATATATGCAGTGCTCGGGAAATAAGACAATATTGAAGTCCGGCATCTTACCATCTGTTGTGGAACTTGCTTCATGTGTGATGATATGCTTTTTTTCTCAGAGGCCGCTGCCATTTTACCAGCAGAATGTATTTTCCCTCATTTCGCCCATTAACATGCCGAACAAAGAGTGTGACATGGTCAGATTTATGGTGAAGCAAGGTTAGTAAGCTCCACATGATGAACTGTGTATGAAAAGGAAAATCAGGTTTAAGATTTTTATTGTGTAAAGACTATATTGTTTGTTAATGAAAAATGTCTGCTTCTGTGATTCTAAAAGTGTTACAAAATCCATGTTCCTCAGTCTACAGTGGGGTCTGTCATGGCCTTGTGTCAAGACAAGGACTTCAGCCCAGATTTTTAGGGTATCAAAGGACTAAGTAAAAAAGGGTCGTCTTAATTTTTTAAACATCCATTTCAAGTTCAGCGTCTGTTTTCCTTTTCTTCTTAGATAACTGGGAGGAATTGAAAGTGTCGAAGCTGCAGGTAACTGTTCATTTGGTGCTTCAGAGTTGAAATTCTATCTACTTAAAATAGAGCTTTATCTACACGAGTGTGTTTAACTCACTGCTCACAATTCTGTTTTAAGGCACACAAGCAGGCGTTTGAAAAAATGTGGCTCAGTTTTTTGAAGCACAAGGTGAGTGTTACTTCAGCCACTGATCTGCATGGCTTTCCAATTGCTAATCGTTAGAGGCTGTGGCCGTCCTTGCATGGAGCTCCCGGCAGGACCCCGCTATGCTTTCAGTGTCAGATGAGAACGGCCCAGTCACCATTTCTGCTGGATTATTCTCCTGCCAAGAAACGTGACCTCGTGTACGGTGTGCTGCTGCTCCTTACTCTCAGCCTTTTTTTCCCTGCTGTAAACAAGTCTGCCTGTAAGGAACGACCTGCAGCATAACAACCTCTGTTCACAAGTTGAAGGTTCCCAAGCCTTTTTGCTGGTAACTTTCCCCTCTGAGCTGTGATGACACTTTTAGTTGTGAGCACCTGCTTCTTTGAATGAGCTTAATTGTCAGGTGTCACTTGTAAACTCTCCCATTTGGGTATTGTTGCTGCAAGCTGTTCTGTATTGTCCTGGCACATTCCCTTTTGCTTGTGCGTTGCCTTTTTGAGCCATGGGTTGCTGTTGCTTTCTGAGTTCTCCCTGCAATGCTTGTTTCACTGTATTGTTTTGTCCTTCACAGCTACCCGCTGGCCTTTACAAAAAAGTTCTTGTCATTCTGCATGACTCCATCCTGCCTTACATGAATGAGCCCACTCTCATGATAGACTTCTTGACAGTGGCCTATGGCATAGGTGAGTGAAAACAGGCTTTTTGTCCTTTGTGAGGCTCTGCAGCATGGTACGTATGGACTCGGAGGGGCTGCCGGATGCAACACCACGGCCTGGGTGATGGAACAGATGTACTTTTGGCTGGGATGAAGCTAAGGAACTAGTGTGAACTCCGTTGTCCCTGAAAGCGAGATGTTTTTACCTCTGTTGGTCAGTGTTGTTGTTCCGTGTGTGTAAGGAAGATCGTATTTAAGGCTCTGGGAAGAGTAGAATACTGGAGTGGTTTCTTTTAAATATAGAGGTCAGCCAGCAATGCTGATACCTGGCCTGCATCTGGGCACAGGACGCGCAGATTCCTACAGAAATGTCCTTTCTGAGGAGACCTTTGCCTCCCCGGTGTGGCTTTCTTGGGGGATTAGAGCAGCATGTTTGTGTCTCAGTCCTTCAGAGCCTGTTCTTCTAAACTACCGCTTAATCTTTGTAAGTGACTTACGAGCCTCTGGGTGGTTTTAGATGAAATTGTGTTACCTTACAGCCATCGTGCTGGCTCTAATTTCAGGTACTCTTAGTTTTGTGTTCCTTGTGGAAAGTTTTATAATAGAAACAAATCGAAGCTGATATTTATTTTCTTATTGTGTTGATACCTGCCTGCTTTCTTACAGGTGGAGCAATAAGTCTTCTAGCCTTAAATGGATTATTTATTCTGATTCATCAGCATAATCTGTAAGTGAAAAGAGCATCTTGTTTAATGGAACATGGGTTTTTGCATTTATATCCTTATAGAAAGGAGCTGAAATGGATTCTGCGCATCTTCAGGCTTTAAAATTCCCCCATGCGAAAGCCAAACTCCGCACAAGAGGCTCAGCTGTTTGGATGCTGAGCTCTTTTGATAGTCTGACCTTTTTTTCAGCTGAGCCTAAATATCCTCTTCTCCAGACTGTGGTTGCTCAGCACTTGAAAATCAATTTCCATTGATCTGGTTACATAGTGAAGCCGTAGTCTTTGATATGCCTTTCACTGGATCCTGTACCATTTGCAGTCAATGGACATAGCTTCACATCCTGAAAATGGCTGGGCACTGCAAGAGCCGTAAATTCGCCTTACAATTTGTTTTCAAGCGGTGGCTGTGGAGAGAAGCCAAAGAAAGCTAAACAGAGCACAGCAGTGGTCTGGGGTAGTCTATAACGAAAGCACAGAAACATTTAGACACAGTGTGGTTCCATTGTACATCACTAATGGATGTCGTCTTTTTCCTTTTTTTAACAGGGAATATCCTGACTTTTTCAAAAAGCTGTACAGTCTTTTAGACCCTTCTATATATCACGTGAAGTACCGAGCCCGCTTTTTCCATTTGGCTGATCTGTTTTTGTCTTCATCGTACGTAGCATCTTTATTACATATGTTCACATATTTTTCCTCCTGTTTTTCTGTTGTCCAGAGACTGTTCTTGAACAGTCCCCCACGTGCCTGGATATAATGTATTCAGTGTGCCTATTGGATTAGATTCATTTTTACTGAGAAAACTGAATCCAAGAATGTTATTGTAGCGTTGTGTAATTTTTCGTGTGCTATTTTTGAAGATTTGCCACATAGCCATCTAGTTTCAGAAAGTAAAAATGCAGTTAGTTATCTGAGTTTGATCTGCAAGTGATTATGGATGTATTTTGATCTGTATTCCACTTCGGCTGAAAGTGATCATTTTTCTGTCTGTCTTTATGAATATGGAAAAGTTACATTTGCAGGCTTTTTACAGATCATAAAGCTGTTGATAAATCGCTGACCTTTCGCAGACATATAACATTGAAATATAAAGTGTTTGGCAGTCTGTCTTGATGCTGTCCATTCATTGTACACAGGGAAGAAACTAGATAAGCAGCTGGTCATATAGTTGCCATCGTATGTTATAAAATACACCAAGAGTAACGCTTTACAGTTCAGCACTAGGCACTTAGTATCAAACCCCTTGTATTCCTGGTGTGCTTTGGAGAGAGTAACGAGGTCTGACAGATGGTGTCCCGTGGGGTGGCTTTGCTGAGCCTTGCAGGTGTAGCAAGCCCTAGGGCTGAAGGCTGAGCGGCTGAAAATTGTCATCTTTCATCCCAGCTCTTCTGACCTGAAGAAATGCCTAGATGAGCTGATTGCTGTTAGAAATTTGCATTTTTACCATGAAAAAAGAACTGTCCTGCACATTTACATTACAGCAGCTTTATGTTCCCATTAACAGCTGCACTGTTTGCTTTAGCGCTGGAAGTATTATGTAAATTTAACACCGTGGCCCGTGTATTAATTAAACCCACAAAACGACATTAGCAGAATATAATTAAGGTTGCCAGGCCAGGCCCTCAGAAGTTTATAAAATGACTGAATAAAGACTGCCGTGTGAATGACCATGTACAAGAGCTGTGCTTGGCTACGGCGAGCGCCTGGAGTGGTGCCATGCATCTGGATTGAGTCACAGAGTGATTTGACGTTATTCATGCATTGAATGGAAATGCCCCCCGATTTGTTCCAGAGAGCGCACAAGACCCAATATTACTGCTTGAAACCAGGATTCTTATAGCTTCTCTTTACTCCAGAGCCCAAAAAATCTGAAGAGCCCCACTGATCTTTAACCTGACGTGCTGTTTGGATCAGTGAGACTGCTGGCTCGCTTGCTAGGACTTTTACATGCTGGTTTCTTCTGTCTCCTTTCCAACAGTCACTTGCCGGCGTACCTGGTGGCAGCATTTATAAAGCGCCTCTCCCGGCTGGCCCTCACTGCTCCTCCCGAGGCTCTTCTCATGGTCATTCCCTTCATCTGTAATCTCTTTCGGAGGCACCCTGCGTGCAAAGTGCTAGTGCACAGACCTAATGGGCCAGAAGGTAAGAGGGAAGGTGGGCAGGGGAGTTTTGTGTTAACGCCTTTAGACATCATAAAGAGCAGGATTCCTGTGGAGGAGGAGAGGAGATCCCAGCCCCAGTTCTGAGGTTTAGAAGGATCCCTCTGTCCCTTGCGTTTGTGGAAAGCCAGCAGGCTGCTTCTGCAAGTTCTCTGACTGTGAAGACCCATCTGCATTGCTCCTCTCTGACCTTAGGCCTCGCAGTTGGCTCCCCAGCCTCTGTGATTCCCTGGGCGAAGGCTGCTCTGAGCCTGGCACACCGACCCAGGCTACTTACAAATGCTAAAGGGCTGGGGGGGACCTGTACCAGACACAGAGCTTGTCTTGTTCACCTCAAGAAATGAGAAGAAAATGAATGCAGAGACCTCTTCAATTTCAGTCTGTGGTGGTTTTGTGTAGGTGGCCCCACTGGGGCCTCAGCAGTCTCCTGAGTTTTTATTTCATCTCTCTGTGATTTAACTGATCAGTGTCGAACATCAGTAGCGACCGTTCAAAGTTGCCTGAGATGCCCTTTGCATCAGACTGTTCCAGTTCTTTGTGCCCTACTTCCTGCGCTCCTTCAAAGTAGTATGATTCTGTACTGCTGCAAACAGTGTCTTGGGTCGTGCTGGGGTGTGTCAGCTTGTTCCTGGACCCTGAATGTCTTGGGAAGGAGCAACTGGCTGCAGCGCTGCTCTGGGTCTCTGTATGTACATCACGCAGAAGGTATTAGCTCTGTATCTCTATTTCCTTAGGTATGTCAGAAGATCCATATATTATGGAGGAGGAGGAGCCATCTGAAAGCCGGGCTTTGGAGAGCTCTCTCTGGGAGATTCAGGTATGTCAGCTAAAAAGGAACATCTGCGTCTGGTATGGGCTTCTTTCACCCTTGCCACTTCCTTGGCACACGTTGGCAGTGGCCAGTCCCACTTACAAGAACCTCCTGGCATACATCTTGCAGATGAGATGAGTTTCTGGCTGATCATTTATTCTGCATCCTTTTCTACCCTAGCGTAAGAGGCAAAGGATTCCACACACTGGAGAAATCGTACATGCTAATTAGTAGATGACTTGTGAGCACACGTCTGGCTCTGCAGCTGAAAAGTGTGCAGTTAACAGCTGAAACAGACTAAATAGCTGCAAATGTATGAGGCTTTCTATTTGCTTTGGAGGGGAGAGAGGAACTTGCTGAGCACTGATGGAAATTAATTGGGTACAGCTAGGTCATTCTGTAGAAATGGGTTTAAAAACGCTAGAGAAGATTATAACGTTCACCTTTCACCTGGATCGTTTGTAGGATAGTGAATGAAGATTGAAATTGGTTAAATTACTCCTGATGGTTCTAAAACCTTAATGTCAGGATTATGACTTTCCATTTAAATGCTACAAAGGTTTTGTGTAAGGGGCTGAAGCAGCAACAAGAATGTTGTGCAGGAGCAGGAGTCCCCGAGAACGGGAGCTCGGATGCAGCATCCGGGCTGTGGGAGGTGGCAGAATTGGGTTATGTGTTGTGGGCACAGCCTGTGGAGGAGTCTGTCTCGAGCTGGATGTGAACCAGGTGAGAGGGGCCTTTGATGTGTTTGAAAGATGGCTGAAATCAGGATTTCTTGAAGCTCTGTAGTAGCACAGTACAACAAACTTGCCTCTGCCGGAATTTGATGTTCACTGAGGATCTGACCAACACAGGGGCAGATAGCTGTGTGGGAATCCAGATGGATGTGTGTTACCCGGTACTCATTAGACCATCTCCTGTTTGTCTTGCTTTTGCAGTCTCTACAAAACCATTACCATCCAGATGTGGCCAAGGCAGCTGCAATCCTGAACCAGTCGCTGTCTGAGATAGAGGATGACATATCAGGACTCCTGGAGCTCTCGGGTTATGAGGTAGCGTTGCTGTGCCTGTGTGAATGATTGGAACCGGGGGAAAGGAGACTGGTTCCTGGACGCAATAGCCGTGTCCTGTTCATCAGCCTTGCTGCTGGGGAGGGAGCTAGACTGACTTTTGGTTACCCAGAGCCAGGGAAAATGGGAAAATGTCTGTTATATAACGGGGCATGAGGCAGCAGTGGCAACAGGGATGGCCTTTATATAAAAGGTTTATTGCTGGATCTTTTTAAGAGGTTAGAGTGAGCAGCGGTATCAGCCAGGGTGAAGAGCGTGTACTGAGTTTTGCCAATATCTTCTATTTTTTTCTTTATAGCTTTTTGATAAAGAAGTAAAGAAAAAGGCTGCTGATGTGCCCCTGGAGTTTGAGCAAGTACGAGGTTTGTTTGGGAAGAAAAATGATATTTTTGCAGAGCACTTCACTTTAGATTGACGTGATCTCGTATAAACACATCTGCACAACTGACTGGTCTTAGGGACATGCACAAAGCTCACGTGTTGTGCTCGGCAACTCTGCCTTGGAAGTATCTCCATGTGATGAGAGCTGGACTGCTTGAGAAGGGCGCAGCCTCCTTCAGTGACCTTTGCCGCTACCCATGGATGGACTTTCCTTTGTTGCTCCTTGTTTCTCACGCTTGCATGTTGCCGCCTGATACTTGAGAGGGATTTTCCAGCAGAGCAAATTTTTCCGGACTTGTTTATTGCTGGAATTCCAGCCCTTTTCTCCGAAGCTGCTGGTGCTGGCTGTCGTCGGTGACTGCATCGACAAACCATCTTGCTGCCGTTCGATGGGACTGAGGGGAAGTGCGGTCTCTGACTACTGCTTTTATTTTTCAGATGTGTTACTTTCATACTAGAGCTGATAACTTGTTTGTAGCAAGTGACCTCAATACATAGCTGTAAACACCTGATGATATTCTAATTATATTTTTTATATACACTTTTGAACTCACGTCTTCAGGGGGATGTTTAGCTTCTATGTACTCATCTTAACACTCTCGCATTCGAGGCATTGAAAGCCCAGATTTGTCAAACACAACTCATAGGTGACGCTCAGTAATTCCATCTGTGAAGTGTTGCTGATGTTCCTTCATGTACATCCATCTCCTGCTGTAAGGTTGCTTAATTCAAAATGCTCGTGAGCTTTGGAAATGAGCATAATAATCCTGGTGACTGCTGTGGCTAGGGAGGCCAGCTGATGTGCCGTGGGAGGTATGTCTAATCCTTGATTTTTGCTTCAGAATGATAAGCAGCTTAATGTAGCTTTGCCTGCAGCCTGCAAGCGTTGTGGGAGCTCCGGCCAGTGTGTATCCAGGTGCTAACTGAGTTTTAACTAGTCCGCTGATATTGGGTGGGTTTGTTAATTTGTTTTTGTCATATAGTTCCAAAAGTCATGCAGAAATTCCTTCTGGTAGGGTTCCCCCCCCAAGTTTTTAAGTTTGAGATCAACTCCTTAAGAGCACAGATACACTCACTCAGGACTTTTTTTTGGTAATCGTTTTCAACGACTTACTGTCTCATTAGACTTTAACTCCGCTTGCATGTTTTGAAGTCATATTTTGTGGAGGAGAAAAATACAGTCAAGAAAGTGGAGGCCAAGAAATGTAATTTCTGGCAGACAAGTCTGTTTAAGTCAAGGAAAGCTGCACCTGTCGGAGACACAAAGCGTTATGTTTTCTTCATCCAGTTTTCTTCATGCTTTTCAAACGATGGGCGTGTCCTCAGAGTATAGAGCTCTACCTCTTCTCTTTTTTTTTTTTTTTTTAAAAAAAAAAAAAAAAGTCTCACTCTTCGTTGTTCTCTGGTGAAAAAGCAATCCTGTCTCCTCCCTGGCCAGCCTGCTCTTCTTTTTTGTTTGACTTCTGCTATCTGTGGTAGGAGGGCGGAATGGCTGAGATGATAACTTAAAACTTGAGAGACCTCAGTTCAGGTTCACCCAAGCCTTGTATTTCAGCTCTAAAATGCATTTCCCTATATCATATGTAGGTTGTATATATGTGTTTGGTAAACGTTTTGAAGTGCTCCGACGCCATAGTAATGAGGACCACGTAGCTACCTTTGAAAGAAGTATGTAAGCGTATCATCTTCCAGATGAAATGAATGAATATATTGAGATGACTGAATATATATATTGAATGCCTTTCTCTGCATCTTTTTGTTTTACTCAGCTTGGCCCAGCTATATCTGTCTGAAATTACCAATGGGCAATGTCATTCATATCTTTCATAATACCGACACTCCAGGAGTGTTAGGATTCTTTTTTTAATGCACAAATATTAAACCATTTGGGCATGGGGCAAGTCCAGGTCTCATGGTGTTGAAAATGAGGGAGTTTGGTTGGGTTCTTACGTCTGGACAGAGGGTAAGCGGAGTCTTTCTGTCAACAAGGCACCTGAAGGGCTGCGTAAGCCGTGTGCCTCTGTCCGTCGTCCTGGGGTCTCCTGGCACCAAACAAGGGTACACACATGGGGCAGATTGAGTTGGTGGGGAGCAGAGGAGAGCAGCAGCTTCTGCCTTCCGACGTGGCCTGCTGCTGCCTTGTGGGCAGAGCCTTGTATCTCTGAGACCAGATGGCCACGGACTAAAATACCGTCAGTACGCTTGGAAAAGGGATGCTACTGGAAATGGGGTGTTTTGCTTTTTCCCAGAAGGAAGACTGCAAAGGTACCAGCATCTTCAGTGTTTCACCAGCTGTGGATCCTAAGTACTGTACTGCAATTAATAGTGACTTGGTTGGAGCAAGATGCAATTTATTTTTTCAAGTGCATTCCCAGTGCCCTGTGTGCTGGCCGTTGCAGCTCCCGCCGATGTTGAGAGGGAGGGTTAGGCTGACACAGTGTGTTTTCAGCTCATAGAACGGTTTGGGTTGGAAGGCACCTTAAAGACCATCTAGTTCCACCCCCCCTGCCATGGGCAGGGACGCCTGCCGCTAGACCAGGTTGCTCAAAGCCCCATCCAGCCTGGCCTTGAACATTTCTGGGGATGGGGCATCCACAGCTTCTCTGGGCAACCTCTTCCAGTGCCTCACCACCCTCATAGTGAAGATCTCCCGGCATATTTCAGCGCTGAGCTGGAAATGCTGTTAGCTCTTCACTTAAAGTACGTGCGGCTGACCTGGCGTGACTTAATTGTTTTGTGGTGATGCCTGGCAGTCCCAGGCACAGCCCCACTGCGCTTGGTGCAAGGCAAACCGCAGACAGCTCAGAGGAACTTGCAGCTTGAAACCTGGGTGCGCTTTTAGACAAGCCTTGAAGGTCTTCCAGAGACTTCATCCCCCGTCTCCGATGCTGCACTGGCCTAAGCAGCGTTCTTAAGCCACTTTTAGGTGGAGATAGCTTTAAGCCCCTGCCTGTCCTTGGAAGAACATTCCACCTGGTCTTTCATCAAGCTTTTATCTACACTCTCACCCCCCTCCCCTCAATAGGAGGCATCAGGAAAAAAATCAGCAGTTATAAATATTAAAAGTTTCATCTGCACTGAGTGAACAACCCTTATCAGGCTGCACACCCGCTGCTGCTACTGCTCTACAGGTCTCCACAGACTGCAGATTATGGATGCTTTAATCATAGCGTGTATTAACTGGAAGGCCAGATTGAAGTACCAGGCAGAGAGCGCATAAGTCACTCCTGTTATTATTTGATTTTTATCAGATGTGGGGAGGGGGGAGAGGGCTGTTCTGGGCTTTTTTGTTGTTGTTGGGTTATTTCAGTGAGCATAAAAGATAGTTTTATGAAAACATTGACATAGTCCCCCACCCTCCCCACCCATCGCTGCCTCATTCCCCCACCAGAGGATAGTGATAAGGTCTCTCTGTGTTGCAATGGACTGCCCTTGGTTTATTTTCCTGAGTTTTCATTCATTTAAAGGCCATTCAAAGTCATACTAGCCTGAAGGTAAAAGATAGAGCCGCTCATCAAAAGCTCGATGAGATTTGTCTTGTGAGTCAAAGGTCCAGGTGACCACGATGTTTGTGTTAATCAGCTTGGAATTTTACTTTTAAGATATCCATTGGGGGTCAGAGGGAAGTGTACATTTACATCCGTAAAGAGATGGAAAAGTGCAAATGCCAGCCAGAGCCCTGGGGCAGGCTTGCCCCAAGTAGAGGGATCTCTGCTCTGGGGCAGAGTCAGTGCCTGTCCTCTTCCCGCACAGTGGGACGTAAGTACGCTTGGTTGCAGGCTGGCAGTGGTCCTCCAAGAAATTAGGCTTCTGTGTCTAAAATAACTCGCTTTTTGCACCGTACGTCCAGGTGTCTCAAGTGGGTATTAGGAACTGCCTAACCGGCATCCCCTGCCTGTCGTCTTCACCTGGGAGCCCACCTCTGCTCCTCTGAATTGCACGTAAGCTCCTCTCAGCGTACAGGAGCTGGACGCTGACTGAGTTGATAAAGCCTGTCTTAGCCCCAAAAGGGGCCAGATCCACAAGCTCCCGAGTGCTTAAAAAAACCAGTGAGAAATGCTTAGCCCCCTGACCAGCAGCTATTAGCATTAAGGTGGTTTCCCAGCTCTGAGATGGTGAAAGCTGCAGTGCAGCCATAACCCCTGCATTTTCCACTACCTAGTTTTGCAAAACAAATGAGCTCTCGGGTAATTTACAGCCCCGCTCAGGCAAAGAGGGCTACAGGATCTCAGTTCGACTGACACCAGCCTTCTCCAGCACTATCATAATCAATATTCATTAACTGAAGTCTATTGGACTTGGAGATTTACTGCTATTAATAAGCCAAGAGTCTGTCTTAGTGTAGTTTATGAAGGAAATTTTAGGTCTGTTAATAAAAAGAATTGCTTTTCTGCAGTTTCTTAGGCCTGTCCCTGGGCCACGCTTGCACCTCTAAAAAGAGACAGCTGGAGCATGTGGGTAGAGCCAAAAGAGATAAAAACAGAGGGAACTTCTCCTCAGAGCTGGTGGAAGGCGCCTGCAGCTGGGTTAGCGTATGGCCACCTTCAGAGGGAACTGTCTTGGTCTCCCGTAATTTTCTAAGCTGCCATCCTACATGCACATGAGAGGAGCCAAACTTGAGCTGTTGGGAACATCACCCGCTCGGCAGCAAGCCCGAGCCCTCTGGCCACTTTGCTTGGGTTCCTGGAGCACTATCAGTCAGGCATAAGCACACCGCTGGGACCCAGGGAACGCACCCTGGGTTTTATAGCGGGAGGCCCTCTGCCAGCAATGACCACCGGTTCCTCATGGGCTGTAGTGCCAGCCTTCCTGAGAAACAAACCCCGACAACCAGGACAACCAGGATGCTCTAGCTGATGGTGCACGCACAGAGGAGGTGAATGTCGACTCCGTCCTAGCAGAGTTAAAACCTGCAGACTCCGTGGCCTGCTGGTATCCCCATTTTGTTGATAAACGAACAGAGCGAACCTTATCAAAATGAGCAGACTGCAGTCCTGCTAATGTAGCTCCGCTTGCGCTAAAGATAATTGATGCTTTAATAACGCTACACATTATCCAGATTGTGGCTGGAGTGCTTATGTGAGGAGAAGCATCAATCACAGGTGGTCGTATTTAACTTCTATCGAACATTTAGCTGGGTGGCAAGGTGCATTCCTGTGCTGCTCTTGGGGAACTCCGAGATATGTAGTGAATGAATCATCGCATCCCTTTTGCCTGCATCGGTTTCCTGCAGATTGGGAGAGTGAGGATTTACATTTTAGTTATCTCGGCTGGAGACGGGAGATACCGCGTGCTGTGGTATTGGAAACAGAGGCTCGATGACCAAGAGCTGCAGTTCCCAAGTGGAAGACCTTCAGTCTCATCTGCTGTTGAAGAGACGGGTCTCTCTGCTGGGTGCGCCCCTCTGCCCAGATGCGGTTCTCCTGCAACCTGGGCAGTGGCTCCTGGGGGTTAGAACGCCCTGAGAGAGGGAGACGGGTCTCTCTGCTGGGTGCGCCGCTCTGCCCAGATGCGGTCCTCCTGCAACCTGGGCAGTGGCTCCTGGGGTTGAGTAAGCCTTGAGAGAGGCTGTAGGTGAAATTTGCTGCTGTGTCACACAGGTAGACTCACAGGGGGAGGCCAGGGGAGGGATGCAGGCAGTAAGTGAAGTCCCACCACCATGCCAGCCCTGGGGGCTGCGGGCAGGCAGCAGGGATGTCTGCAGTGATCGTCGCTGCTGCTGCTGGTTACCCGGTGTGTGCCACGGGGCTCTGCTGTGGAGCCCAGCAGAGCGGCTCCAATTAGCTGTGTGCTTGGCTAGATCTATGGGCCAGCATGCTGTGATCTTGTCTGATGCATGCCTGAAGGGTGTCTGACCACTCACCAGCCTCATGCGCTCTGTGGGATGGCGCCGAGCCTCGGTGGAGCCAAAGGGAGCTGGAACGGATCCGCTTTTGCATCCTGTCCCAGGGCTTGGCTTCCCGCGCTCGGTGCGGCATGTCTAAAGCTATAGCGTGTGGCTGCTTCTAGAGATACAGTCCTCTCCCGTGAAGCTTTTCCTTGTTAAGATGACTCCTGAAGCACCCTGCCTGGCTGAAATGCATCCCTGGACCAAGGTCTGCCCGAAGGCTTAGTTTTTCAAGGGTATTTAGAAAAGAAACCCCGGTAACTTTGAGGACCTGAGTATAAATATTGATGGGAGCTTTTATTCTCTTTCAGCTTATCAAGAGATTTATGGCCGGATCTACTTCAAACTTTCTCTTTACTTCAGACTTCCTCTTTATTTCATACTCGGCAGCAGAGATGGTTTCCCAGCAAAAATCCTCCCCGTTCTCTGTGCCCAAGAGTGGAAGTCTGGAGCCCCCCTGTCTTC